CGGCTTAAGGAGCTGGGCATGTTTAGCCTGAAGAAGAGAAGGCTGAAAGGAGATATGATAGCCATGTATAAACATGTGAGAGGAAGTCACAGGGAGGAGGAAGCACGCTTGTTTTCTGCTTTCTTGGAGACTAGGACGCGGAACAATGGCTTCAAACTACAAGAGAGGAGATTCCATCTGAACATAAGGAAGAACTTCCTGACTGTGAGAGCCGTTCAGCAGTGGAACTCTCTGCCCCGGAGTGTGGTGGAGGCTCCTTCTTTGGAAGCTTTTAAACAGAGGCTGGATGGCCATCTGTCAGGGGTGATTTGAATGCAATATTCTTGCTTCTTGGCAGGGGGTTGGACTGGATGGCCCATGAGGTCTCTTCCAACTCTTTGATTCTATGATTCTATGATTAAGGGAAAGCCTATTAAATATCAAATTATGTTATGATTTTACAAATTAAGTACCATAATAATAATAGTCATCATCATCACCATCATCTTTATTTACACCCCGCCACCACCTCCCCAATGGGGCCTCGGAGAGGCTTACATGGGGCCAAGCCCGGACAACATATTACAACAAGATAAAACTAGAGCATAAACAATAAACAACATCATCAAATTACATCAAGAAAAACATTATAAACACAGTAATAAAATTACATTCCAATAAGCACAATCACAATAACAATGGGTGGGCCACATGTACAGGATAAAAACAATTCAAGGACTGTAATGAGATAAAAATAGGAGCAAGTTATCGGCAGGGAACTCATAAAAAACACACATAGTTGTGAAGCTAAACTTCCCATTTGGAGGGCGTGTATTCTAGTGGGAGGAGCATTGAGGGGTGCAATATTGTGCACCTACTCGCCAAAGGTGCAGCGGAAGAGCCAGGTTTTAAGGTTCTTTTTTAATGTTTCTAGAGAAGGGGCTTTCCTGATCTCTCCAGGTAATGAGTTCCATCATGTTTTACAACAAATCGAGAGAGAAAGCAGTTCAATACATGGTGATGTTATGTAGTAATTACTGTATTTACGAATTTAACACTAAAGCAGCTATGGATCCGGGCAGGAGGCAGACTGCGTTGGATAATACAGAATGTTGGATGAGCAAAGGTTGGATAAGCAAGAGTCTACTGTAGTTCCAAAATACTAACAGTGATGCTACAAAATAGATTCTGGAACCCAAATATGCTGGTCATCTGTATTAGAACCCTTGTTTCCATACTGCCTTTGGTTTTTGTTCTGTCATGCGCTGGGCCTGTAATAATTGACTTTTGAAATAGGACGTGCACCTTGTGCCCAGCGGGAAGCCAGGGGTGCCTCGAAAGAGGCCTTTAGGGATTTTCCTGTAACAAAGTTCTTTATATTGAACAAATCCAACAGATATTTCTCAAATCTTCAATGGGTCAAACAAATGCTTCAAGGCTTTGAATTAACTGGTGGCTTCCTTAATCTTGTCCATGAGGGACAGGCAACTGTCTTCATTAACTGTTCCTTTACTTTAGAGGAAAACCTTTTTTTTTACCCTCTTCCAGGCTGACTATAATCTAATCCTTACTGATGTGGGTCCTACTACTGGATTCAGTGTCTTGAGCACCGAGTAGACCTACCAGTAAAGGCTTGCAGATTCTCCAGCTGGAGTTCTCTGGGTCTATAAAGCTGTTTTCCCTCCAGAATTTCCCTGGAATTTCTTGGACTTCAGTTTCCCAGGATGGTCCTGAGAAATGAAGCTTTTCTGCAGGTGAAGCTTATCCATGTCCTCTAACTTAGTTTTCCTCACTAAGACAAACTAAAAATGGCCCCTTCCCTTCCCATCTCCCTGGGAGAAGGGGCGGATCCAAACGTAACAATGATAGACAAGTGGTTTGCCCTATGACTGCAAACCAAAGGAAGTCACCTTTTTGCAGAATCCCTGCATGCAAACACTTAATAGAAAGAAAATAAAACTGGAGCTCCTGGTACAGACAAACCAGCACAGTTTTGCTAACCTAGAGAATAAGAATAGGCTTTAATTGCTTAAAAAATGGCCACTCGTGGCATCTTCCGCACAGATACGTATTTCCAAATGAGCTTTCTTCCTTCCCCGCTCCATGTTTTTTATCTTTGAGATTCTATATCTCCGGTTCTAAAGCTTTTATCTGCTCCTTCCCTAAGGACTTATTTGAGAATAACAAACCAATATTAAGAATAAAATCTTTTTTATGTTTGTCCTGCAACTTGCAAGAGAAAACTAGTGCATGGTCTTTTTTTATCCCACTGGCTTTCTAAGGTTCAGGTATTAACATAAATACAGCCCATTAACACTTGTTCCTCTCTGTCAGGACATAAATTAAGTCTGCAGGTGTTCCATGAAGCTTTACCCTTGGTACTAATTAAGCCTTGATAATTAGGTTTGTTAAATTCAGGCCTTTAAGCTGATATTCCCTCTTTGGGTCGCCAAAATGGAGATTTGCAACACACAAGGCCCGTTTCTTCTGGCTACTTCCTTCCCCTCCTATTTTAAAATAAAACTGCAGTGAGAATCGCTTTTCTGATAACAGCGAAAGGAGCATCAATCTTATATTATTTTATGTATCAGCTTGCATTGTATATACTTGATCTTCATTAATTAATAGGGATTGCTTTGAAAAAATCATGGGGACCTCCAAAGTATTGGATGCAATAATGAATTCTATACAACAGTAGGATCGCTTGAGTGACGTGAGTTGTATTTTAGACGTCACAATGGAAAATTTAGTCAACAGATACAAGGTCTAGGATGAAGTTATCCTTACTGGAAAGAGGAGAAAGGGGGATATCTCTTGTTCTCTGATTGTATTGGTGGTATGCAGGCATGTATTTATTTATTTATTTATTTCGGTTGCTTCTACCCTGCCCTTCTCACCCCGAAGGGGACTCAGGGCGGCTTACAAAAGCAAGGCACAATTTGATGCCCGCATCATATACCAACAAGAGAGGCTACTGATACGGTTGAGCAATGACCCCTCACAAACTAATACCCATGCCAACATAAAGGCAGATCAGATAGCACACCAACTCTTGAAGAATGGGAAACCCAATTTTGCCACCAAAGTAGGAAAGAAACCAATAGCCAGGCAACCAGAGATTGAGAACAACAACCTCCATGAATCCTTTACATCTATTGAATTGGACATGGCTCTCAATAAATGTAAAAATGGCAAAGCAGCTGGCCTGGATGATC